TACGTCTTTACTTTTACACTTACGTCTTTACTTTTACACTTACGTCTTTACTTTTACACTTACGTCTTCACTTTTACACTTACGTCTTTACTTTTACACTTACGTCTTTACTTTTACACTTACGTGGACACCTTTACACTTACGTGGACACCTTTACACTTACGTGGACACATTTACACTTACATCTATACATTTACGCTTACATCTATACATTTACGCTTACACCTATACATTTACGCTTACATCTATACATTTACGCTTACATCTATACATTTACGCTTACATCTATACATTCACACTTACTCCACTGTAGATTCGCACACACACACACGCGCGCGCGTCCACACACATCTGTACTTACATTTACACATGCTGCTAATAAGTAGTTTGTTAGTATATGTAATTATGCCAAATTTGCATACAGATTGCTTTTTTCTTTTAAGACTGAAATTGTGAAAATTAATTGAAACTTCGACGTATTAAAAACTTTCACACAAAACAAACTGCATATTTCTGAATCATTCTGTGTTGTTTTTTACATGTTATAGACCAACATACAATAATCTTTTTTTAAAGTGCTTTTCGCTTCGACTTTAAAACTGAATTTGAGAACTAGTTTGTCTTTTTTTAAATTTTAGTGTGTTCAATATCTAAGTAAGACTTTCACTTTAAAAGCATAATTACTATTTATGGACATCGTCTCTTACAAATATGAATCTCATTTTCAAGCCTTGACTTAAAACAATCATTTTTGGTGGACATTTTTACCGGATTTATTTGGAGATCTTTAATTTTGAATAAAAGGCCCACGACGTTTAATTAATTCCCCTGATACGTCTATTGTTCTGCAAAAACTCTATTATTATCATTAACTGAAGTAAAAACATCATGTTTTGCTTACTTGTAGTACGTACCTGTAAGTGTTAAGAACCACCCAAGCATTAATTCTCATTTAACGAAACTTCTAATTTATCGATACAACAAACCTAAGCGAAAATTATCTTGCAGTGGTCTGCCCGGCATTGAAGGATCCATCAAGGGAAATAGAATGCAAAGTGAACGGTACAAAAGTTGACTGTGATGAATCTATGGTTCCTGGAACTGAAGCAGATGTCAAGTGCGGATTTTTCTACACGCACATCAAACAACTTTCACGTTTTGTTATTAGATGCCAGACAAATGGAAAGTGGTCTCGAGAAATAACTCCTTGTGAGCCAAGTATGTTTCATTGACATTGCAGATTAATGAATAATACATTGGAATAATATTGAATTTTCTAAAATGATGTGTGGCATGGCAGTAATACATTGATTCATAGAAAAATGTTTGCTTGCAGCATTTCAATGTCTGTAATATTAGTGTGTGTGACTATATAATACAACAATTTCCAACAACATAATATAATTATTGTCTGTATGACACTATAATATAACAATTTCCAGCAATATATGCCCACGTTATAATACTTATTTAAAGTTATTAGTTGTCGCATCAACAAGGTCATTAGCGACATGTGATAGTGTTACATGGTGTGCGGACGTCGTTATTTTTATTAACAAGTTATCTAATATTATGGTGCGCTCAGATATGTTTAGGACACCCATTTGACACTTGAAAGGTATTGCGTTGTATCATTTAAGAAAAGCAACTAAATACGATTATACGTTTCTGAAATAAAGGATGCAATGTGCGTTGTCACTAGACCCGGCGCTTGGGGGAGGGGTCTGCAAGGTCTGACAGCTTCTGACCAGGCGCGCTGGGGTGGGGTGGGGTGGGTCTCAAGGAGCCGAGAAAGTCGTTGCATGCACAAGAACGTAATAAATTCCTTTGTCTATTGATCTGACGAAATCGCATATTAATTTCGTAAAGTTTTAAATGTGAACAGTAACGCACTGTATACGAGAAAATAGTCGCAACACGTAGGATGAAAAACGCCAAAAAAATATAGTCAAATATCTTAATTTTTTTAGTAAATATCTAAACTCTTAATTTTTGGGGGAGTTCTCCCGAGTTCCTTGCTGTCCAACAAAACCATAAACACCTCTCACTTGACCATCATCTGGATTGTTTTCTTTCTATTTCAGCACCCATCTGAAATTAGTAATTTAAATTAATAATGAGATATTATGGTCTTTAAAATTCCAAAGGGATTCTGTTTGGAACTGTTGTGTTTATATTTTAATTTTCAGAATGTGGAGAACGTAATCCCAGAAGATTACCTAGGATTGCTGGTGGGAGTGACGCTCAACATGGAGAATTTCCTTGGCATGTGGGCGTTTACCGATCGGTTTCTGGAAGTGATTTCAATATTTGCGGCGGCACAATTATATCAGAGCGCATTGTTGTGACTGGTAAGTAAGTGCTATTGCAGACGTGGAAACTGTAATAAAATAAGTTGACGTGAGTTTTGAAAATAAAAACTTCCTTAATATTAAATTAAATTCCTTAAATGGATTTATTTTTGCAAAAACATGGATTAATGTAGGACTTTTCTAAAATTAATCATTATTGAAAAGTAATGCAATTTTCATGACCTTTTTTTTCAGCTTTTAAATCTTAAATTGACATTGACCATTATTCGGGTCAGCAATTCTTGATTAATTGTGTGACGTCATGGATACTCACAGCGACCACAGACACAGAGCTTTCGTATAACAATATATTTATTAACAAAGAAAACAAAACAAATATATACACTTAATATCTTACTTACACCCTAGCTCTGATAGACCTACTATCCCCTGATCGCGGGAGCGATCCAAACCCGATTGAAGATGGTTTTGATTGTGGCATTCGCCACTCCTACTTTTGAAGCGCGCACAAAGCCTAGCTTCCGTGACCGGATGTCACGCTGGGACACAAAGTCCGTTCTGGCGCACCAACGGCTGGTTTGCCTCGATCGCAGGAGCGATCTTATCCGATTGAGAATCGGCGTGAATCGTGGCACTCAACCACTCTTCACCTCGGAGCACGCACACAGCATCGCTCCCCCGTGACCGCAGTCACCCAAGGACATAAAGTCCGCAGGCTTCGTCAACTAATGACTCCAGCCTCGCGAGCCTGGCTCGCATACGCACCGTTTTGGCGCCAAGTTTTGTGCACACGCACGAGGTTCTCCCACCGTCTCCAGAACCTGCCTACTGGCTCCGTACACTCTGTTATATAGGCGTGACCTCCTACGTCACGGCACCCCCTCGCTTGTTATAACAGTGAAAAGCTTCTATAAGCCGGAAGACACCCAAAGCCTTGTGTCTCCCGTTTCCGCGTTCTTCCCTTTTACGGAAAAACCCTTCTTCCTGTGGCAAGGCTAATCCTGCCAAGCGTCCCCAAATAGATGCCATGAGGCACGCTGGCTAATACGTTACAATTGTTAACAATTCTGAACTTATCAAATAACCAAGTAAGCACGATTAATGGTAAACTGTTTATTGTGCGATTAATGGCATTAATAAAAAGCCGCACTTCAAATGTTGCATTGTACCCATCTTTGAATGATAGCTTCTTGTGGCAGTGGTCAATTAACTATTTTGCCAAGTGTTCTTCAGTTAGTTATACACCTTTGTGGCAAAACTGATTTGAATGCCGAAAATGACCCCTTTACTTTACGTGCCCAGCGTTCGTTACACACAGTTCTGATGGGACTCTCATAAGTAAGAAACCACGAGGTAAACCTGGCGAACGTGGAGTATCAAGGCACAACATTGGAACGTGAAATGCGGTGCCTCGATATCAAAGTTTAAACTTTTTGTACTGATCCGTTAAAAACGTGCTGAAAAAATCAAAATGCAAAGATAATGAAGATGATTAGTGATGAAACTCATTTCTTTTTCACTCGAGCTCAATTATGCAAAAACTTCGTTATCGACTCCAGAAAATTCTAGTAACATTCACGAAAGGCCACTCCATTAAGTTATATTGTAATGTTAAACAACTTTTTATAAGTAACCGGAATTACAAAGACTGATGTGAAATGTTATTTTCCAGGAAGATAAGGTCACAATGCATACTACTAACGCATCAGTTATTTACAGTGGTGCTCAGAGAGGCAGATGGGGCAAATGACTCTAGGCCCCGATTTAAATGAGGGCCCAGAGCTTTTTTCATTGAAAACAAAAATTGTGCGTCTTCTAATAAAAATTAACCCCTATAAGTTAATTCTGTTGCATGGAGAGAAGAATTCTGTTTTTTTATTGAGGAGGGGAGAACATTTATTTGAAATTTGATTTTTTTGTATCGAGGACCCAAAAAACGAGGTTTCTAGCTATACCATGTGTTAAGAGATATTTTTTCTACATTTAACAACTGGATTTATCCGATTTTTGGTTAAACAGGGTCTGGAAATACCTTTTTCTGCTGAAAATTCGCCGTTTGTCCCCCGCATCATTACATAACTTTCTTTACACTGCGTAAGCACTAGTGAGAAAGTAAAATTGTGTTATCAAGTAAAGCTTTTTTTTCATAAATCCAAATAGCACCATTAGATCTAGTGCCCACTTCCCTTAATCTCACACCTCAAAATTCCAAAAAGTATTAACACGCCCTTTGAGAATCTTCTCCGCAAAAGATTTTTTCTTCTACTATACCACCCTGCTTCAATAACGAACCTTATACTTTGTGTCTGATGGCGTCATGCCTATTTCCTGCACCAGACCGCTAAGGCCCTTTCGTGGTGGAAAGAGCCTTTCACCTCGTGCTAAAATTAAACCACTTATTTTCCAGTCATAACTGGTACGGGGGAAATACTATGTAGATGTGTGCGGCTTTACAAGTAGTCAATTCGTGTTTTTTTTTCTTTCTAAGTATATCTATCCTAGTAGCATGTATCCACGTAGAAGTACTCTAAATCAACCATAACATATTGTGAAATATATAAACATAATTTAGCATACTTTTTTTGTAACAAAAAATAAAATAAAATTAAAACATCCTGGGAAAGTTTACAATATCCAAATCAGCCATGAAACATATATTTATAAAAAAAATTGAAAGCAGTAGTAAAGATACATAAAATGCTGATTAGAATGAAGTATTCTCTATTCATGATTGTTAAACGGTGCTAAATCCCGATTTTTGCCGGAACTATCAAACATTTTAAAAGGTTTCACTACATTTGATATTTATCTATTGATTTTCAGCAGAAACCTTATTGAAAATTGTAGAGATAACTTCCACAAGATATTACAATATTATATATGCACCTAAATTATGGAAGGATGGAAATAGTCTTTCTTCATAATTTCACATTAATACGACATTTAATTTACAGCTGCCCACTGTTTCTGGAATGTAGAAGACGAAAAACCGTACAGCGTTAATGATTTTAGAGTAGCAGCGGGAAAATATTATTCAAAATGGAACCACAAGGATGAAAGAGACGATGCACAAAAACGAGATGTTTGTATTACGAAGTAAAGCGTGAGTATACAATTTTGTTCACATTTCGTAAAGCTACTTACACGCCTTTGCTTTCAGATCGAGAGAGTAGTAATACATAATGGATTCGGAAATAAAAACAATTGGGCAAATGACATTGCTCTGATTGAACTGAAGAACCCTTTCGAAATGAAAATAGCTGTAAGACCCATTTGTGTGGATAATGATAATGAATATGAAAGATTTTTCTCTCCAGGAAAAACAGGAACTGTAAGTAAAACACTGGGTTTGTTATTTACAAATGTAAAATTTGTAAGTAAAAAAAGGAGGAAAAAGGTAAGAATGATTTGTTAAGTTCCTGTATACTTTGCCATATTTCATATCTTCTCGTTACTGGTCACACGCTGAAATGTGATTTAATTATCTCACAGGCATAAGTTATACATATCGATTTTCATAAAAAAGTAACATTTTTATTTAATGATGATTTATTTTTAGAATGATGTAAGATTAATTAATGCTTCTTTATAAATCTGATCGTATGATCACGTCACATATTATTTAACTTGAAGTTACCAGAGTTTTAATACCAAAGAATGTATGGGGAGGAAGTGGGTTATATGCCAAGGTATAAACATTTTAAGTTCTTAGAAATACAATCAAAATTATGTCGAGAAAAGTACATAGGGACATACAAAATGATTTACACAATGAAACGTTTTTCATGCGTTGTAATTTTATTGGAGTCTCAGGTTGTGCTCGATAGTGAGACGCTGACTGACTTCTAAACAATACGATTTTCTAAATAATATGTAATGTTTTAATAATTCCTATTGATTCCCGACTCCCTAAATACCTACACTCTTTAATAATACTTGCGTGAGTCGACGAACCTCCTAGTACAGATCAGGTACCCTGACAATTTATTCTGTCAAAAAGAATTGGGTTGAGGGATTTAACTATCATGCATACCAAATAAATCAGCCTTTTCTAAATAGAATATTTATAACCTTTATCGGAAACTCAGATGATATTCCAGCTTTGATGTCGATATTAAGTTTATATAACTAGAGTGCATAAAATTGATTTTTTTGTCATGCCTTTTTAATTAAGATTCAATCTATTCAATTTACTAAGGTCTTTAAAGATTTCAATACTATTTCTTTGCAAAAATTTCTTGATTTGAACTTCACGACTTTATCCTAATGATAAAGGTGGGATCAGCTTCCGTGGATCATTCGCGATTGGTGTACTGCGACTGGTCGTTCAGGTCGTTCGGGATAACGGACGGGCGGGTGGGCGACATCTCTGGAATGAAATAGTCATGCTGGAAAAACTGGAACAAATGGAAAAACACACCACCGTCTTAGTCTCAATTACATGATTATGATATTTTTTGGGAAAACCCTCGCTATTGCACATCGATGACGATTTTTCTTCTTCTTCTATAACGTTCAGAAACTTTCGATTAAGGGGCTTAAAGGACACACATTTAGACACATCAGCGCTCTACCTTACACCGCGGCTGGTAGCGGAGCATTGCTTTAAATGGAGTTCTTCCCACGTGCGCCGAATTCGGGCTAAGGGCTCCTTCACACGTCGCCACCGCAGCGCGCTTCCGAACACCGCGGCTGGTAGGAGAGTAGTGGTTTGAATGGAGACCTTCCCATGTGCGGCGGGTTCGCGCCGCTGTGGCGTTCGTCGTCAGACCCTCGCCACGAGAAAGCGCAGGAGGGCTTACGCGCCACCGCTAGCAGTACACTGCTTTAAATGATGGTATTCCCACGGCGCTGCCGGCTAAGGCGTTTTACCTGCTGCGGTACCTTTATTCGTCGTCGCCGGAGGGCCGGCGAAACCTACTCCTGCAAAACCCACCCCCTTTCAAGCGCGCCGCTGTGGCGACGTGTGAAGGTGCCCTAAGGTGTCTTTCAGCGGCGGACGCTTGCCACGAGGATTCCGCGCCACCGCTAGCAAAGCATTGCTTTAAATGGAGATCTTCCCACTGGGACACTCGCCGCAACGTTTTACCTGATTTATTTCTTTGTTTCGCCGATGGGTCGGCTAAAAACCAACTCGCGCCAAATCCCTCCCTCTTCCACGCACGGCGGGCGGCTGTGCGGCGGTGGCCCCGTGAGAAGAGCCTTGCCGCTTATCGTAAGCACGCGGCTGTGTCGACGTCGGATGGCGGCCATAGGCCCTCGCAGCCGGGTGCCCAGGGAGGCGACGGTCTGAACGGCACCGGCGACGTTGTAGTTGGCGGCTTTGACGTGCGTGTCCGCTACGGGACCTTGCACGTCTTTCACAGTTCCCTTACTTCCACTCCGTGCCCCAACTGTAGATGGCTCGTTCAGCGGCTAGTCGCTCGTCCACTCCTGCTTTCCCACAGCAGGTCATTCACGGCCGGAGTATCAGCGGCAACGGCCAGCCCGACAACCATTCTAAGCGGGCGACGACGCGATCGGCCCGGGCATGTGACGGCCGTTGCGGCTGCAGAAGTTGGTCGCTGCAGCGACGGTTACCCGACCGGCATATCGCTCTTAACTGAGCGGCTACTCGCGTACTTGTTCCCGAGGGCTCACGTTACATTTTTTCTCGCGAAGTCCTTTCTTGACGGTGAGCGTCTCCTCATGTTCCAGTCTACAAACCGAGTGACTCTCTTAGGCTAGTCGCAAAATGAGTCGCAGGTACGTGAGGATTTGGCGCGAGTAGGTTTCGCCGACCCTTCGGCAACGACGAACAAAGAAATAACTCAGGTAAAACGCTGCGGCGAGTGTCCCAGTGGGAAGATCTCCATTTAAAGCAATGCTTTGCTAGCGGTGACGCGGCATCCCTCCCGAGCTGCTAGTGGCAAGCGTCCGCCGCTGAAAGACACCTTAGGGCACCTTCACACGTCGCCACAGCGGCGCGCTTCCGATAAGCGGCAAGGCTCTTACCGCACCGCCACCGCTGCACGTCACCGCCGCTGTGAAAGGTCTCACGCACGAACGCATGAGTCACGGATTCAATACGCAGTGGTTAACAGAAACGCTCCATAAGTCACACTGCGTCACGTCTCATTTTGCGAGTAGACTTAGAGGCGAGGGTCCGCTAGCGCCCAAATTAAAAAAACCAAGCGATCGATGCGAATTTCGCCAGAGATCCAAGCATCCACTAGAGATCACGTGCTGCGTGTGTTTATGTTCACCTGTAGATTCGCGAGAACTTCCGTGTTGCGTAGGCGTCCAATCACGTCGTGGCGCTCAATGTGACGAAATATCCCACGAAATTCGGGCGGTGGCGGTGCTGTGGCAGCTGTGCCTGCATGCAGTTTGTCACCGCGCCTCGTCTAGCCCATCCCTTTCTCGAGACAGTAGATTCATATTGTGGGCACAACTCCACAACCATTAATTTTATATCGAGGAGCTCAAGTCCCCGGAGTGGGCTCCTGAGCTTTTCGCTTTTATCCTCACCCCCCGCCACCGCACATGTACATCAACTGACTGATATCTGGGTCCAACCGGAACCTAGTTTCCCCTCTTGGCAACCTTCCCATCCAGTGCCTGGGTTGGGCCGTCCCGTTAGCTCGGAGCTACTAGCTTTCCAGGTCAGTACCGGAGTCAATATCATCGTGTGATGGCGCGTCAGTCACATGCGCCGGGACACCGAGTCCCTCCTCCTTCCACAGGGTATTAGGCCACTGCCACGACGAATCCGAGAGCTCAACTGGAGGCCATTCGAACTAAGGTCCGGGCGGTTTGGGGGGCTCAGCCCGTCTCCTGCCTACCTTAAGCTAACGACATGAGTACCGCCGAAACCTGGGCAACCTGGCGGTAGATAATTTCCCGCCGGACTTTTGTATGTGGATTCCAGACCGTTCCTTAGAACCACCTTCACCCAATCATGCCCAAAGGTTGGCACGCCAGGGGCCCAACTAGTGGGTTACCAGGTTGAACCGGCGACCAGGAGCTTGATCGTGAGTTCTACCGTGAAGCTAAGGGTCCTAGTGGTCTTCCACTACTTCATATTTAGCTTATTTTTAGTACATCGCTCCGTCTGAGCGTCTTTAATGTAAAATTCTGAGAAATAATTTTTTTCAGGTTCTGGGTTGGGGTATAACGGAGACAATGAGGCACAGTGAAAAACTCCGCATGGCCACATTGAAATATGTTTCTAGGGAAGACTGTGAAAACGAGGTTCCGCAGTCGTTCGTGCCTTTTCTTACCCGCGACAAATTTTGCGCAGGCTATGGAAATGGTGAGTTTTAAATAATCTTACATTGTTTGAAGAGTTTTGTTTAAAATTCTGAAAAAATATGTATTTCTGTAGATACATTTTGTCTAAAAATATTGAGAGCAATTATTCATGCAAACTAATAATTTCTTGAACATTTTGAGTGACAAACTATATTGAATAATGTGATATCATCTTTGCAAAGAAAGTACTAACTCGTGATGGTCCAAGTAAAGATGTTCAACATCAAAACAGCACATAAACATACTATTCTCTGCATAGTCCTTTGAATTCAAATTGAGATCATTTGAACTCAAACCTTAGTAAATATAACGTATTCATTAATTATTTAATAATAGTATTGATATTAATTAAAATTATTTATTCTCTCATGTTATTACTATTCATAATAAATAATAATACATAACATTCGATGTTATGTGAATTGACATTATTTATTGTCAATTTAGACATTAAATTTTAAATTTGGGACGGGATAACTAGTGAGATTTGCTTGGTAAAAACAGACAACAGTGAAAACTGAAAACGTGAACAGTGAAATAAAGAAACAGTGACTCTGAAAATGTCTCATAAACGCATGTATTTCATTAAGCAAAAGCACACTATCGCACCACCAAAGTAATAGTAATATTTTATAAGTGTCCCTTAACTCACAGAAATTATAATAATTTTCATACTATCATCCTACCATAATCGCTACTAGTGTACTATGCATGATCGTTTGATTAAAATTGACCTAATAGAAAGTTGACTTCCACTTAGAAAAAAATATGCATTTACAATTAGTTATTGTTTTGGTGAAACTACTATTGTGCAGGTTAACTCTTATTTACAAGTTTCAAAGATTTAAAAATCAAAGGGTGATTTCATCTATTGAAAATGAAAGAAAATGAAGATAATCTTTTTACTCCATTTTCTTCATTTCATCTTTAAATAATTAATATCTTCTATACTCTGCGAATAATTAGTATATTAAATATTAAAATTGTTTGAATATTTAGAGTAATGTACGTTTCTCCAGTTGAAAAGACTCACCTGCATATTGAAAGGGGAAGTTTGTACACTATTTGTGAGAAAGGTTTCTTTTGAATTACGTATTAATAGACTGTTTTCTTATAGGAACAACCCTCTGCCCTGCAGACGATGGGGGCGGATTTTTCACGCAGTTTGCAAGGGATGGCAAGTGGTATTTATTGGGGATTGCCAGCATGGGAGTCGGTCCAGAAGGCGAGACAGTCGCTTGCGATGTAAACAAGCACGTAACATTCACAAGAATCGCAGATCATCTACACTTTCTGAATAGTGTATAGAGCTAGACAATGAACCGAAGTTTCCACAAAGATAGAAGCAATATCTTCAAATTTATGTTCGTAATACAAACAAAAACATTTTCAAGTCGAATAGAAAACACAAGCAAGATTATGATAACTATTTCTCAGAGCTGGTGAATCCTTAAAAAATGTAGTTATTAATTAAAAATATCTTATTAATGATAACTGAAGGTATACCGTAAGATACATTTTTCGTATCTATTAAGCTATACCAGTTATTTAATAGAAAGTATACCTTTCTGTCATAAATTAATTTACCCTATGAAAGTTTACTTGTACTGCTTCTACTTTGAAATGACCTTTAGTCGCTGCAATGGATGTTAATTTTGTGAAGAATCCTCCAACTTTTATTGAGATATTCAAATATTTGTATTGAATTAATAAAATAAAAATATTTTATAACATAAATATTGTCTGCTATATTTTTGCAACGAAAATGCACACTTTTTATTGCCAGAGACTAATGACTAGAAGTCAACTTGATAACACTTGGGCTCAAGCTTTACCAAAGCCCATGATGAAGACATTGGTTAGCTAGTTGCGTAGGCTTCCCAGGCCGACTCTGTACGCTCTACGCACCACTCTGGCCGCAGCAGTACGCTCTGAAGAATGCCACAATACGCTGACCGAAATGTTAGCCACCGTGTCAGTAACGCGGCTCGTCCCAGATAGCCTAGACAACACATTGGTTACCTGATCCGGCGCACAGATTTTTGCGCAGCAACAGATACGTCACGAACGACGTAACCACAACAATGGCACTTCGTTTGAAAAATCAGGCCAGACGGTGGCCGCTACACTGCACGGCAAGCATTGCCAACAAGCACGGAAGTGTTACGAAACATTTTGAAAGTGGCATAAAGTAATAATATTCAACGGTGACCAACCAAAAATAACGCGAAAAAATATGTTCTCCATATTGCCTACCATATGTTGAACTCTTGGTCATTTTTAATGTTGGAAACAACCCTTATTTTGCAATTTAGATTGTACAATAAGAAAGGAATTTTTTTTGTAACTGTAACCAAATCCACAAGGATATACAGTTGTTTCTATTACCGGAGACAATGCATCAAACGATGTAAAATATTTCTCAATTTTTGAAGTCGGAAATCTATTTCTTGACAACTGTTTCATTATTAATGGTTCTCATTTACGAGTAGGATATTGGAACCGTTTTTAGTTACAAAAATATAGCTAATTCTATTGTCAATGTATTAAAAAATTCTGGCATCTAACCAAAGTGACTCGAAAATTGCATTCGAAGTAATAGAAAATCATTCGACACTGAGGAGCAAGGCAAGACAAAATGTAAAACCGCTCTATTGTATTGCTATATTCATATTCCTTAACTATGTTATGAAAAAAATTGCTAAATTCCAAAATAAAAAAATAGATGACAAAAATATAACACTGTAGGTCAAATAAAAATGAGAAATCCAACAACTGCAAATGAAAGCAGCACAACAAATAAGCGAATTTTCACTTACCGACATATTTTTTTGAGAAAAATTGCCCGCCATTTTCTCCCCTAAAACAGCTTACGAGTAGGACATTGGAACCGTTTTTATTTACAAAAATATAGCTAATTCTATTTTCTATGGCATTTAAAAAAAAGTGTCGAGTCTTCATTGTCGTAGCGTGCCTCCAAACCCTTGTTGGGCGTTGAGTGCTGGTATGGAGTAATCCTCCCTTATTATTTTTGCTAAGTCTCGTCAGGTTGCAGGCAGTGAGTGTCTTTTATCCCCTGGGCCAGTGATTCTTTAGCTATTGATAAAAGTATTCAAGAGTTGATGAGAAGTAAATCAGCAAATTGGTTTATGAAATTTTATTTCATAAAGAATATTATAATGTTTTCATAAAAAGAATTATTTTTCGTAGAAATCAATGACCTCTATATTTATATAGTTCAACTCACTGATAGAAACATCGTTTGCGATCCAATTCGTTTACCCATGATGTCATTTTCGATAATGAGTCACTCCCGGTCCGGCTACAATATGCGTGGTCACGGCGTAAGAAATGTTTTACACCGTGATTTGAGCCCCATTTTTCAACTTAAAATATTCAGCTTTCTTGAAAATAAACGTGTAAGTATGTAAATAAACTTCTATTAAATGTTAGAGAAAATATTTAGCAAAATATGAAATTATTTCATATTTAATCTTAATGTATCAAATTCTATTCAGCAACTGTTTTTGTGTCAAGTTTTCAATAAACCCTACCCTCCTAATTCCTTCCCAATTCTGACCGCTGGGTAGTGACGCAGGAGCGCATAGTAGGGGGCGCGTACGCGGAGATGCTACCTGGCGATCTTCTTGACAACTGACTGCGTCGACGGTTATAACGACGAGAGTTTTCTTTGTTTCTGACGAATTAATAGAGGATTGCTCCTAAAGCGCAAAGCGCTCAACGCCACTCCAGGGCTTGGGGACACGTTGCGTCAATTAAAGACGCTACAAAGTAAAAAAATTGAATGTAAGGAATAACAATACTCTTACAATCAACAGATTGGGGAATTGTAGAATGTACTTAAAGAAAAGGAAGTCTTCATCACGCCCCCTACATTATGCATTTTTCGATAAATGTTTAAGGATAATCATTAATGGCTAGTATGGATTTCACAATCTGGATGTTTTGGTAATGGAATTTATGATCAGACAATTTCAATAGCTCTGTCAATTAAATTGTAGGCAATTGTAAGTGTTTTGTTACAAGGGTGTTTAGAACAATAATTCAAACTTCTCCCAGTTCGTTGGTTTCCTGTGCCATTTTTTTCATTTTCTTCTGAAGACAGATGTGCCCAAAAAATTTAAACATTTTCTTCTTTTTCTATTGTAACCACCGCCTCCCCGATTACCTGATTCCTTCGGCGATTCAGCTTTGCCCGGCTGCTTCGTCGGCAGACTCCCTAGAGGGAGACATGCATGCTTGCCTAACTACTTGAGAAAAATACTTCAGCATTTTCATAAACTACTTTAATCACTGTGTGTGGGTGAAGCCCAGTGACATGAATAAACTTACAACTAACTTAAATCTAATCTTAACTTAGTAAAGCCCGGTATGGCCAGAGTTCATTTCAGCTCCGGTGTTTTTGCCCTCCCGGGCGGTCGTGATCCAGCTCACAGGTGCAGCGTTCGGGAGTCCCAACGCCCAACAGGTCTGGCGGTGGGCGGCTACGGCGTTGCTCGCCCCAGGTCTCTTTGTGGCGGCCGCTTGGCAGTCACGGCAGCGGCCCCGGATTAGGCCAGCGGCGGGCGTCGCCGGCGGCTTGGTGCTGGCGGCGCTTGGTGCGGGCGGGGGCGGGAACGCGCCCGGGCGATGACGGGTCTCTTCGCGATATAGTTTTCCACGTCCCCGGCTCGCACTCACATGGCACTCTCGGTCAGGCACTCAGTAGTAGTGTCCCGTCCCATCGGCCGGCTGTCGTCTCACGAGTCGGGCTGCGATGTGGCGAGGCGGCGTGGCATTCAGGGCGGCCAGGCACCAATTAATTGGCCTCGCTCCTGTCTCTGATACAAGTCTACTCCTCGCTACCTCTGATACAAGTCTCCTCCCCGCTGCCTCTGATACAAGTCTTCTCCTCGCTACCTTTGATACAAGTCTCCTCCCCGCTGCCTCTTATACAAGTCTCCTCCTCGCTACCTCCGATTCAAGTCTCCTCCTCGCTACCTCCGATTCAAGTGATCGAGCTGTCCCTCCGCGGTCCTACAGGAAGGCTCGCGTACCACGTGATTCCTCCCCCGCATTGTCTATTTCTATTGAATGTCGCGGCACCTGTAACTCTTCCGCCTATCACGGCGTCAGCGGCGAAGTCGCCCCCAGCAACCTCCCCCGCAGTAACCTACGACACCGAAATTCCCGGAAATAGGCGCGGGTAATTCCGTTGCTCGGTGAAGGGGTATGGGGTGGCGTGCTTCCCCACACGTCATAAGGGGTGCGTCCGGCTTTCTCGGCTGAACAAAGGAGGTGCATCTTCCTCCTCTCCCCCGGCGCGCTAAGCGGCTCTTATACAGGTACAGCGGAAACGGCATTAGCGGCTGCTCCTAACGGTGGCGCGGTTCTTAATTAAGTAAAATAAATATATGGCTCGTGTCGTCATCCGCGATGTGCGACCGTCCCGTTACACTATAGTAAGCCTTCTATTCGGATTGAAGTTATTGAATTTTTTTAGTCCTCTCGATTTTATCTGTTTTTATAATGAGGAAGATGTCATTAACATAGCGTCAATAATACATGGTCAGTTTTTGTTAAGATAGAATTTTCAAGGTATCTGATTACTATGGGAAATTTATTGCAATAAAGTAAGTGAAACATCTACATATATATGTTTTTTTTCAAAATATGTACGAAAGATAATAAGTAAAAAAAATACTATATAGTTTAAGATTCCTCTATATAAGCATTTTCGAGCACATAGTCGTCGACCGGTCTTATCCTGGATTTGGAGAGAATGAAAAGTTCTTCCTCTACAGAAGTAAGTATACAGTAGTTTCTTTCACCGAGGAAAATACGTTGGTCCTATATACAATGTTTACGAGGAGATGGTACTCAAGTGAATGGTGTATTAGCGTGCTGTCAATGATGGATCCCCGAGGTGAGGGGTTGGCGCATCCCCTACCCACTTTATTCATACGAAACTGAGTAAGATCTCGGAAACTCGGAGCAAAGGGTGGTATGAATAAAAGTAAGCAAGTACTCTTTGCTCCGAGTTTCCGAGATCTTACTCAGTTTCGTATGAATAAAGTGGGTAAGCAATTGCTCAGTCTCTGAGTACTTACTTCAGCTCTGAGCGTACTCTCAACTGGCGAGCAAATGCTCAGAATTGGTATGAATAAAGTTAAGCGTTAGAGTTAGTTCTAGAGTGAGCACTTGCTCCAAAATTTTGGAGGGACCTTAGTAGCAGACTCACGTTTGCAAAGTAAGGTTAAATTGGCCGATTTTTTACCGTGTGTTGATATACATTTACAGCGGACTAAAAAAATGCAAGATTAGTCGAAATTCTCGTGATGTCGACTAGTAGAATCTTTGCCGAATCGAAAAGTACCATGTATGGTTGGTACGATTTTTATCGGCGTTTGCTTTCAGGCGCGTTTTCATATTGCATATCTTCTATGTTAATTGGCCATCGCTCTTTTATACTTGGAATTTTTAGGGGTACTTTTTTTTGAAACTTTGTAATGTTTCGTTTCGGCCACAGCGTCCTTCCGAAAGCTGGCTCTTTTCAAAAATAATTTTATATTCACTTAGAATTTCGGTAAAAATTAGCTGGGCCACTAGCGTCTGTTTTTCGTTCCTGCTATTCATATTCGAATTTAAAGAATGAAACAACAAACCATTGCTCTTTATTCCGCACAAATGTGCGCGACGCGCGTAACGTATGTAACCTCTTTGTTGCTCAAGACCCAATTTTTAAAACTCTTAGCCGGCACTATCACGTTCTCGACGAGCAAATGCTCGCGAGACATGAGTAAGTTCTTCGGAGACATACGAAGTTTTTATTCATACGAAATGGAGCTTCTGCTCAGTGCCGCGGAGTAGACTCACTTTGCTCCGGAGCAAGTACTCATGAGCTGGTGCTCATTTTTATTCATATGACTCAAAGAGTACTTGCTTACTTTTATTCATACCACCCTTTATCAGGCATCGGTGAAACAGGCCCCTTGTGAACTTGACTGAGAACTCGCTGTAATTTTCAAGGAATAACTGTCGTATTTCCGTGATGAACAACGTAATAGAGACAATAGACGACAAATTATTTGATGATTTAGAGCGTCCGACCAGACTGCATGCCGGCCAGAATATTTTGATTGCAAATCCCGTTTCGTGTTAAGGAAGCCTACGGTTAGCAAAGCCTTTAGGTTAGAATATTAGTTAGTTTTTTATTGCGGTACGCATGGGGACTATGAAACATGAGCAAGCATTAATTTGACATTACTTCTGCATCTCATGTTCATCTGCTCGTCTTTGAACACGAGTACACGATTTTTAAGGCGCAAGGGAAAGAATAAGTTTGACAATTCATGAAGAAGGACCGGTAGTCATAGAAGTGTATTACATTGCTTTGTAAGAAAGATGATTCCAGTAACTTCGTGTATTGCGGACTCACATCTGAAATGTTCAGTTTTGGCGTATAAATGCATTAAAATGTAACGAAATATGTAGTAATATGTAAAATATGTAAATATATGTAATTATACCAAAATATTTAAACATTTGTAAAATAAAAATAGTTCTATTTCATTCATAATGCCCTCTAAACTAAAAAATACTTTTGAATGCAGCTGTGTTGTTCTTGTAAATACATGTATTTACATGGAAATCCATTGCCTGCCGATTACTATTTCTGAAAATAAAAAAAGACCAAATGGGACTTCTAATAGGTATACATTTTTTCCCTTGAAAATAATTTAAAAGACATGTTGTTAAGAATTATTCTCATTGCACTCAGAATTTACAAAAAAGCTGAATGCCTTAAATTAAAAAAGGAACTGTTTTTTATAAATAATTATATAGACCTCCATAAGAAAAGGAATAGGAATATGAATAGGAAGAAGAAGAGTAAGAAGAAGCGGGAGAAGAAGAGTAAGAAGAAGGGGGAGGAGAAGAGGAAGAAGAAGGGGAAGAAGAAGGGGGAGAAGAAGAGGAAGAAGAAGAATAGTAAGAAGAAGGAGGAGGAGGAAACATCTAACCAAGAAAATATTATAAATAACAACGGCCACGATATATTATTAGTAAACAATTTTCGTATTATTTAGGTAATGCTGATGTAATCTTATTTACTGCAATATGAATACATTTTAATTATTTTTAAGTATCAATGACCCCACCTTTACCTCTTGAAAATAATCATGAAAATAAGTGAACCATTTATTGTGAAAATAAACATATTTTAAATAGTAAGAAGGAAGAGATATGTTTATTCGAAAATTACTTTTAATTTTCTAAGACTTCACAGAAAAAATGACGTAGAGTTTCTGAACTTCTCAATTGACTACAAATACTTACGTGGGAACAATAGATGTTCTTTGAAAAAATTGAGTCATTTTAAGATGCAATTTAAAAAAAAATGCCGTGTATCTGTTTCAATGACTTGTAACAATGTGATATTTTGGTATCTGCTTACATTTAAAATTCCCGCTAATATTGTGATGCAAACTGGTGCATGAAGCATTATTGGCGGATAGCCTGCGCAACAGAACATCCGTGTTATTCCTCCATGGTAGTATTATTAGTATTCATGGTAGTAATTAACAAATGCACATTTGAGAGTACTTTTATCTTATTAATTAATTATTAACTAATTATAAGTATTTCACTAGAGCACGCTGGCTAATCCCGGCCGGGCACCTGCGCGTCCGATACAGATTATATACTCTTTCTACTCTTTGGTCCTCATTCCCACCCCGCCAAGCCGGTGACAGTCTGCTCTGCAGGGCCCGGCAACTCTCCATCGAAACTGGGGACAAAGCTCGAGGTTGCTACTATAGGAAGTGCTAGTGTCGCCGGGTGCAGCTGCAGGTTAAGCTCGCCAACTTTCCCACATACAAATTGGCTAATTTGTGAGAAATACGAAAAGTGTCTTATAAATGTACTATTATTCATAATCTATACTTATACGAAACCTCTGAAGAATGCGCGAACGTAGACGTTACCTTTTGCAACATTATGGGCCTGCTTGCGACCCGCGAACTTACGCAGTATCCACGCACGTTTCAAGTACCGTTGGCAGCAGTTCGTGTTTTAGTTCATGTAAAGAAGGTGATGCAGCAGAGCGCGCCACTGTAATGGTTCCCACCACGTTATATGGGGGTTATAGGGCCCTGCTGCTCTTGTGGGTCTAAATGCATATATCAGTGTTTGTTGAGTTAATGATTTAACTTGATCCAGGGCTTAGTTTCGGGATTATGTATGATAAAAGTTATTTCCTAAGCAATAATATTTGAAGTTTCGAATGAACGAATTAATCGTATAATTGTGGTTTGGGTGTAAGCAAATAATGTTTTTTATGCATTCTTGTTTGGTAGGTTATGTGAGGATCTATTAAGTGTTTTAATCGCGTGTATGGTTCTGTATCCGAATGCTAAAAAAAACGAACACATTGGTAAATAATTTTATAGACATCGTGAATTAAATTGATTGCTACTGCAAAATGATTGTGTACTTGCAGAGATTGGGAACTTACCATTTGCATAAATTTGTGAGATATAGGTGCGTTGTTTCGTTTTAATAAATCCATCCGATTTTCTTCCTTTCTTGATTTTAGTTGAGTGAATGAAGTGTTTTTTTCTTTCAGTCATTCGCAGAGCACTGTGATTGAAGATGAAATCTCTCGTTTTAATAGATTGTCAATGGTGTGGTGGGATGAGCAAGGTGATATGAAACCTCTTCATTCAATGAACGGGTTAAGGTTAGTTAATCATGAAATTGTGTTGCTATTGTAAATATAGATACTTTCTATTATTCATGATGAAAAGAGTTTGGGATAAGAATTTCATTGAATGGTATTTTCTCAAAATTGATTCCACTTGTTACATAAAGATTTTATTAATATTCCTTTAGCGTGAAGCCTTGTGACATACACTTTTCAGCATGTGTAAAAATCGTATAACTAGTGGTCTACAGGAACGGGTGATGCTCAAACAAAACTGCACATCCCTATTTCAATAAAAGTACCTCTCACACTGCTGAAGAATAGTGAAGAAAATACTCTTCAATAATTGAACAAAAACTGTGATCACAAATACTGCAATAACAATGTAGTATATATACAGTATCATTATGTACTAAGAATATTAAAAAAGTTCCACTACAATAATGTAACATGTGAATTGCAAATATTTTATTGCAGGCAGCCTCTTCCTCATATTACTGTCATGACATCAGCTGTCAGCAATGTTGTATTGAATATAAGAATTCAGTCAGTACCTGCAGTGTGAGAGAAGGTTGAATAACACCATTTTCTTGCATATATTTCTAAGATTTATTTTTGTGAAACAATAAGCATTTCACAAAAATTAAACATAGAAAATACAAAAAAAATGTAAAATGAAACAGAGAAATTTGTGTAAAATGAATATATCTAGTATAGATTAAACATTAGATCAATAGTAGGGTTTAAGTGCATAAGTCTTGGAAAATTTGCGAGTCTTTTGGAGGCAAATCTGCTGTAGTTTAATTTCTATTGCACTTCCTGCAAATGATTAATCCTGTGATCTTGTATGGTGGGAAGTTATATTTGGTATTTAAATACTCCTTTACTGTAGAATATTTCATATATAATACTCCTTTAATATTAAAGACTCTCCATTACTATTCTTAAAAAATCATTGTATCTGGGAAATGCATGATAGAAATTCCATAATATTTCCAATATTTAAATTATTTTTTGGGAATGTTGTAAATAATTAGAAATAAACTTCCTTTTATCTTTTAAGTAACGTACAAAATATCTAGTAAAATCTTATAACAAATATTTTGTAGATGTCATGTTAAAGTTTAAAAAGTAAATACCCATTTGTTTTATGCTGTAAGAAACATTCTGAAATGCTAAAGTCCAAATAAGAAAGTCTTCTTCAGTCAGCTCTCTGGCACTATATTTGTGCCATAGCTTCTTTTATTACGGTAGCCCAGTATCTTTCGTCATCCGTTTTTCATCTCCATCTTTTCACTCCTAGGGTCCTCGGAACTTCTTCCACCTCATCATTCCGTCTTAACCTCAATCTGCTCCTACTCTTCCTACCGGCCATGCTCCCTACATATATCTTCTTTACTGCCCTCTCTTCTTTCTTATATGTCCAATCCATTCTATTCCAACCCTCGTATCTTGATGCAGGTAACTATTTTATATAGTTCATTCAACTCTACATTTGTTATACTCCTCCAGATTTCATTTTCTTTCACCAGTCCAAAAATTCTAAGTATGATTTTCTCTTTCCCATATTGCCAGGTTATTTTCCATTTTCTTTGTGAGGGTCCAAGCTTCAGAACCATAAAATACCACCAGTTTGATGACAGTGTTGTTGAATTTTAACTTAGCAGCCTTTGAGATATTTCTTGTTTTAATTTTGTAAAGATTGCCTTAACATTGCCTGCCATTATTCTCCTTTTAACATCCTTTTCTGCTTCATAATTTTCAGTTGTATAGGAACCCAAATACTCAGTGGCATCCACCCATTCTATATTTTTTTTTATCCAAATTGACACATTTGAATTGATAATGACTTCTTGTTGTTCTCATATATTTTGTATTGTCCTCATTTATTACAAACCCTATTTCTTTTTCTCCTTTCACTAATTGGTGTAATGTAATTTCCATTTCTTTAATTGTTCTACTTATCACTTCGTCAACAGCATATGCCATTAGTTGTACAACTCTGTATTCATAAAGAACAAAAATACTTTTGAATTTGCTGTCGTATCTTAGAGATACACTGCCCAGTGACCGCGATGACCACTTCAAAAGGGCTGAAATTCCCCAATTTAGGAAGATAGAGCATTGTGCTTACAGTTCAAGATGTCGGTGTGTATTTCACTTACCATTTGATACCATTCACATCTTCATACTATATATTCGATAGCATTTAAGTGTTGTAAGTTGTTTTCTCCAAAAATTCACAGAGAGAATATGAACTTGAAGTATTTGAACTTGTGGTCAGGAAAATCTGGCTGTGCAAAAAGTGAAAGGTTCATTGCGGTGTTTGAGGGAATGAGGTGTGTAAATTTGTCAGTTCCATTCTAATTGAAATTTGAGTCGGGTGGCCACCAAAAATGTTCTTATCATTATTATTCAAATATTGCATAAGAGTTGTAAACATTTGCTCTATGAATTTTAAATAAACACGAATATAAAGAAAAGGAAATTAATATTTTCTTGCATGTAGCTAAGGTGCATAAAGTCTGCATACACATGTTAATAAATTAGTTGCCATTCTGATAATTCATTTACCTTACAACTGATTTGAGGGTGTTCACAAGCCATGAAATCAATCTAAAGAAAATAAAAATATCATGAGAAAAATCTATGCTAACTTTTCATGTGTTGAAGAAAAAATGATATATTATTGTCGTTGAGTGTAGTGAGGGATTTGTAGGGTATTCACTGTTGCAAAGCAGCAGAGTCACTTTAATTATTGTAGGTAAGTATCATCTCTGTTCTGCAGTTCTTTCAGTGCTTTATTTTTTTTGTAGAAAAGCTTGTAGATTAAACATTCTTACATCCCCACTCTTTGAAGATTAAAGTATTATGTTTTTTGGGGGAGCAGTGTTTGTTAAGAACTTCTCAATTAATTGACAGTAATGGTTGCTGCAGGGTCGTTGACCAGGAGGTCCATGGATTCAAGTACCTAGGATTGATTTGAGCCACTGATGAGAATTCTGTGGCTGGGTTCTTTGATCACTAGATTTTGCGGGGTCACCCTATCAATACCTGTTGAAAGCTAGACAGGCCATGGAACTGGCTCAATCATCCTCTCCCCTTCACATAGACATGCAATTCATATATGCGTCAGAATACCAGTGGGAAACATACAGTTGACCAAGCTGGTCACTTGGAGAAGGAAGTTTTTCCAGTTGTTTATTCACTGAAGATGTCAGAAAAGTTGGCTGAATGGAAAAATAAAGGTTGCTTGTGAAGGAGTGTATAATACATCAGATTGGGATTAAAAGAGGACATGTTGAAGAAATTTGCATTACCTAGTGTTCAGTAAATATATCTCTTGATAACCTTCTTAATACTATGACTTAGCGCCTTTCGCCATTAATATAACAGGACAATACAGACGATAAATTAGAACGATTAATCAAGTAATTAATAGCAAACACAAGTGAAAATATTGCTTATTAATTACGCCATCTACTGTGATTTTCATTATCCTGTCGTCTTGCCAGTATTCTTCTACTTGGTGTATGTGGTTACAGTAAACTTCCTAGTCTTCTGCAGTCACGGCTACAAATATTCATATACAAATTCAATACGATGACAAATATGCTCATTTAAGAAAAAAATCTGCCCTCTCCTAAATGATCGGCTTGATCCGCCCCTGTAGTTGGCTTCAAAGTGTAGTGTTCAGTTATTCTCTGTCCCCTTATTCATGCATTTCATCGGTTTGCAAGTGGCATAGACTTTTGTAATCGTTTGTCTTTACGTTACACTCAAAATGAAAAAAGGATTAAATGTTTTGAAAATAAGACATGAGAACCATTCAAAATGCTAATACTGTTCAGGAAATGCAAACAATTAGAGAAAATAAATTGCCGAAGAGAAAAGGGGTTTCTATTACAATCCTGAAACTACCAAAGGCTGAATACATCATTCCTCTTACAATTTCAATAAAATGTAATTACTAAAGCCTTTGTGCGGATTTAGATACTGGAGGCCTTCAAGCACAAAACTATACTGGGCACTCCTTCAGAAAAATCTTTAAAACTAAAAAAACTAAATGTGAATAAATTTAAAAAACACTAATTATGGTAGAATAAATCATTGTTCGAAAACATGTAAATTAACAAATTGCTTACAAAGAGCACGGCGATTGGAGTCCCAAGCCTGATTTGGCTAGGAGGAAATCTAGCTCTGCATGCACCATGCATGCATGGTCGATATTAACACCAGCATAACAAATATTTTATCATTGCGACTCGTGTAAAGCTACCAAAAAGTATATTTCGTTCTAAAGTGAATGCTCATTCAGTAGCTCTACAGATTGAGGTGTTGATCTATGCTAAAGATTACTACTTTGAGTCCTGTGTAAGCAACTGTGGTGCAAAAGACTTATGACAATTCACTGTGTATTTCCATAATAAAAAAGAGAATATTTATAATTTTTGAATAATTGAATAAATAATCATTATTCAGGAGCAAAAACTGGCATACGGCACAATACAAAATAATACTGTATGTTTAAAAAATTCTAAAATTCTCAAGATCACCCATTTTCTCGTAGGGAGTAGTATCAAAGTGAGTCATTGGGAATATTAATTGAATTAAGATTTTCATTCAGATCACACTAACCATTATATCCATCAAATTCCAGCTTTTCTGAATATCTGATTACTATCAAACGCCATGTTCTCCAGTAGTGAGGGTATTTTAATTGCTCCGAGAAGATCTAGAGGAATGTACGTACTCTTGCAAGGGCTTGTCACTCGATTTGAATGACGCGCGTTGCGCGCGCGGTGTTGCCGAGATGCGCGTCACAGTCCTGGCACTCTGGAAAGCGCGCGAATGTCTCCCTTAGGACTGATTTAGGCGTATAATTTTGCAAAATTCTTCTATTTGAAACGGTAGATTATCTTCAAATTGTGCATGTTGATTCTTTAAGATGCTAGCTATGAAGAGTTTTTAAAAACATGTCCAACAGTTAATTTTCTCACAATTTTAAAATTTCACGTCAGATCTGTCGGGTCACC